CAAACATTTACAAATTTAGGAATTTTGTTTGTAGCGCTCGCAGAACTGTACTCCAATTCATGGATAAATCGTCCTTTTTCAAAAACCTTTTGGGTAGCCAGTGGTCTTCTGACATAATATTTGGAATGTATGAATCGCCACAACAACAAAAAACTGAAACCAAACTGTAACCTTTGGTTGTCCTTTATAGCTGTTCTACGCTCCGCGATCTCAGATGAACTTCCTCCAGCTTCTGCACCACAGGGCTGAACAGTCAGTTACGGTGATGTGCCGGAAATCCGTGGTCTATTACGACAACGCCAACAAAAACTACAACTCTGCAGCCGATCTTCTGCTCTCCAACGGAGATGTCATAAACTCCTACCAGCATAGGCGGGTACGCGGGGAGAGTGGCACCTCGTACTTCGAGATCAAAGTCAAGGACGGTTGCGCGGTAAGTTCAACAAGAAGGACATCCATCCCATCTCCAGAGTCATAAGCACAGTCGAAAGTAGCGAGAGAAAAAAATCAGTACTTTTGAGTACTGCGTGATTTGAAACTTTAAATGCGCGTTGCGTTATCTATATTGCCTTCTAGGATAAACTAGTGTACCTGCTACGTTTCACTGTTTAACAGTTGTTTTAAAATAGAAATTAAAGGGTGTAAGGGGATTGATTAGACAGCTTTTTATTGAAGACTGTAAAACATATTCACATATACCTGTGTTAGCAAATCAAAATTACTATACAATTTAACGAGTTCACGAACATCCACCAATGAAGAGTAGGAATTGACCCCAAGATCACAACACTCAGTGATGAAAATGACCTTCTTAGGAGTGGCGTTCGAACTGGAATTGATCCTAGTTACCCTCATTAAACTTGCCCATTTTTGAAATTTTTACACAATACCATTTTTTTCACATTACCATATACCCCGCAGAAGAAATAAGAAAAGGTCAAAGGATCGGCTGCGTTGTATCCATACAAAAATATCCTAAAGTCATCTAGGAACAGATGAGTTACTGTTATCCATTCTCCCCGATTTACGAGAGCGTAAGCGGCTACGGGGTATCACAACTTACGAGGAACATGAATTCTGGAATTTTTAGATAATCGGGCAGAGAACTCCCTTGATGATCCTAGTAATGTAAAGTAGCATTGCATTTTAACAGTCAATATGAAGTTGTAGACATTTAACACAACACATCTTCGAGTGAGTTGTCGCGGTTCAGTGCAAAAAGCATGAAAAATAGAGCTAGGAAGATTATTTATAAGGATAGCATAAAGAAATCATGATATGAGAGTCGCATTTTGTCAAATCTAATTGTTATTTCACACCATTGTAAGTTCAATTGCGTATAGTATTCATGTGATTCCGACGGTTCTAACAATATATAATGCCTATCAAAGTAACCATTTTAACCTCAATAATCAAGGGCGAAACCAAATTTCAGAAGCATGAATCCAGCCTAGTAAACTACCTCGTTATCTAAATGATGCTCCAATAACTTTCAAAAGACCCTTTTAACCCATTCCTTCTTGTTCCACGATATTAAATTTACTCAAATTTCCCTTTTCAGGACCGTTCCGAGAACGGAGGAACAGCAACCTTTGATCTGATGGCTAAGAACACAGAATACCTGCCTGTTCTCGATATGAAGATGTTTGACTTTGGTGATGAGTCACAGCTGCTGGGCTACTACGTTGATGCCGTCTGCTTCTCTTAGACTCCCCCGACTCGATATAGGCATTTTAAATAAATAGCCAGATCAAAAAAAGCAGGAATTGGCATGTGCCGATAAAATTTAAAAAAATCGCGACGAAGTTGATGAAAGTACACCAGAAACTGCACCCTGTCACATCTCCCACAATCCTTTCTGACCGTCTGTAGTCTTCCCTTTTCTTTTTCCATTTTGTTTTTCTCTCGTTCCGATATTTGTGATACAAGGTGGTTATTTGTCGCTAAGCGTCCAGATACATTGAGAAAAAATGTACAGTGATTTTTTGTGTATGTGCGTGTGTGTGCGCGCGCAGTCGTTTAGAAGTTGACTGACAAAAGATTAATTCATTTTTGTTGTGCTGTTATCGAGGCCTCAGTAAAGGAAGGCGTACTGATATTTTGCTATTCTTATTTTTAATCACACCAAATCAGTTGGCATGAAATTGGGATCGCCGTCTATCTCCGCGGTCAGCGAAGGCAGGAAGGGGGGAGGGCACAACCCGCTGTGAAATGTGGGTCCGATGCAGATGAACAGTCGACATTTTGGACCATGCATAAGTCAAAGCGCACCATATAATGAGGGCTTTTCGCGCAACTTTCCAGTCTCTGGAGATAGGGAAAATGATTACTCGAACAATTACACCTCCAGTAAACCTTTCTCGAGGAACAAATCTACTTTTGGACAAGTGCAGTTTTCAGCTGACCCCGGGCAACTTTATCCTTGACCTTTGAGACATCATTTTTATCAGTCAAAAATATATCACGAGTCTCCTAGCGGACTTGGAGCAAAAACCAAAAAACAAGATAGAAAGATGAGAAGACAACAATTATCATGACTTTACGCATTGAGAAGCATCCGACTTACTAGGTATGTCAAATAACCAAAAGTCTTCACACAAACTCAATACTAGCAGCTTGTACTGGATATTCGGAGAAGAAGCAAATAAATCAGTCACGTGAGATGTCTAAACCAACGAACGCACTATTCATGCGGTAATTCAACTCGCTTCTAGATTGCGGCGGCCGAGAATGTAAAAGTGTGTTTTACACACAGAGTTTCCTTGCGTCTAAGGTCAGAAGTCAAATAACCATCCTAGTTGCCGTCAGTTGGCGGTTTTTTCGTGTGCCAGAAAGGGACATCGGTAGGTGAGCGCGTTAATAGCAGTATGTTGCTAACTTGCCCCCCCTAAAGGAGCCGCGTGATAGATGCAGTTGACCAACACGGGGACAGATCAGAATATGGCAGTTTCTTGTCGGGTTGCGCTTCCACAACAAATAGCGAACGTGGCGAGTGAAGTAGCATGCATCTTAGTGGCTTAGGCCGCGTCGGCTACCTGCGCCTGGTTCTGCCTCTGTCTTGACACCAGGCTTATGTGAGTAAGGGACGAAAGAGGGAGTGCGGTAGATGCCTCGTAAGTCGAAATGTTATGTTGCTAACGCGGTTCTGACAAGTTTGTGCCAACACAAGCAAGTGATTAGATAAGTGGTGAACACGCGATTGATTAGTTAATAGGCCGAGTCGTGCGCGTACGATCCCAAGGAGCAGAGGACGCCGGCCGACAGGTGTAAGATGGCACCAGTTTGTAGGTAGCGCTGCTGAACAAGACGTGCTTTAACTCAATTCTGACGGTAGACCATGCATTAGTGGTGTGCTTGCAGGTCAGAACAGTTGTCATTGACGTTGAATGACAAGTAGGCGATGGAGAACGGGGCTATTGGTGCGGATTCTGCCACGCACCGCACAACGAATAGTAATCTCCGAAAAAACGGCAGCAAAACACTCCGTTGAAAACTCACTCGGAGTTGAGAAGGAAAACAACACCTACTGGTCCCCGGGCCTAAGAGATGTTTTGGGATGTTTTTTAACGTATATGACTGCAGTTGACTTCCGTCTAAAATAAAGGCAGCTGTGATCCCCACTATCGTGTGTTATTAAGACTTTAAAACCAGCAATTCAGATGAGCGCATTCATTCTCGAACCGCTCGGACTTTTCTGTATTTTGGTCAGTTCGAGGTAGTGTTAATTCAGTTTGGGCGGTGCGTGAACCGAAACGCAATTTCCATTTTTAAGGTGTAATTCACCGAATCCTTCACAATAGGGGAATATGAAAAACTGCTTCTAAAATCCCCCTTATATGGAAAGCTAGTAGGCAAATTCCTTTTTTATACTGCTGCTGAATTAATTTTAGTGGGCGTTCTGGGGATCAAAAACATTTTTTGTGGAAACTAGCCGCTTTTTGTCGCAGACAGGACGGATATCAAGCGTGGGGACCTTTTCCGCAGAGTATGTCAAACAAAATGGATGAATTTAAACTGTCCGTGAACTATTTGAAACCCAAACGCATAGCCCAAACTGAGACACGAATAAATGAACAGATAGCAGATACAAAAGTCAAACTAAAGGGGTTTCAACTTAACCACATGGACCGAAATGGACGTAGGGCTAGGCGAATCACAATGTCCATACGAGAGGACATTAGCTTCGTCCCGGATAGGTCGTTATCAAACAGGAAGACTTGATGCGGAATGGTCCGAGGTTCTGTTAGATCATGTAATTGTTGCCAGAAAAACTCGAAATCACTGATAAGCAGCAGGTAGAGAAACAACATCCGTAAGAATCTGCGGATGAATAGAATTGGGGAAAACCTTGTGTTTAGCTGAGACTCAATCCAAAGTAACTGAAAGCTCACTCTCTGTTGCATATTCAGCGGATATGTGGCTTTGTATCACATTCCTTCTCCCTTCCGGAAATAAAATTAAAACTATACCTCATGTTTGTTCTCCCCATCCTGTCCTTTCTTTTGGCTGACGAATGCCATTGACCGCGGTAAGGTTTAAATGATCAGAGGGTTCTTGTTCGAAAAATTGTTTCCCTTTGCCGATCCACTATTACACGGAGAGATGTCAGTTAGCGAAAAGGATATTTCTGGGGATTAAAAGACTCGCAGCCGGACTCCACTTCCTGTTTCGCGTTACCTCTAGCCCTAATCTCCCAAGAACTTCCCTCGAAATTAGGCTGTCATCTAGATCAGCAGTTTTTGAAGCTAAATTACGTAAACATTTAACTTCGGAAGATATAAAGTCCTCATTACCCGTCTCCTTTTCAAACACCCAAATGTTGGATCTTGAAAAGGGCTCCCTGCTACTTGTAACGGTTCCATTTATATTCAATAGCTTTTCTATATATGTCTATTTTACCCTCTATAGAGAAAATTTTGCAGCAATGTTTCGTTCTCTACTCTTTCCAACCATTATTTCAAGATGCTGCCAAACTCTCTCTGTTCTCCGTTTTACAACGGTCTCTGGCCATGCTCATGGTGGTTCTTCCATCTTCGCTAGCTTGTCTGTGGACTCTGCAGTCTACAAGGTTGCATCTCCGACATTTCGGTGATGATTTCGTGACCCCTACTATCCCCTCATCCTTTCAACCCTGTTGTCCGCAATGACCTCCTACGGTCTCACCTCCCTGATGGTTGATTCTGTAGCCAGTGGGGCGGTGTTACGGTGGTGAACAGTAGCCCCTGCTGCAGTGTTGTGAACTAATTAATCTCCATCCCTTGTGGCTTCGCAGATTACAAAGGGGACTATTTTTACTGTTCAAATTTTTAAACGGCCGTACCATTAATCCCCTTAGTATCAAAAGGCAGCTCGACCACTCTCGGCGCACAAGTAATCAAGATGTCTTTTTATTTTTTTCCTGTGGCACGTACGGTTAGATGCCGTACATTGTTTTCGTAACGCCATAGCAATCTAGAATAAGCTGGTCAGAAGTATTAAAACACAGCAAAGCTATCCTCTGTTAAAGAAAGCTACCACTATTTTGGGTGCTGACTAGGTGGAATCTCTCTTTCACTCTGATGGCATTCGTGGACTTTGAACCTTGCCAGGCCTCATGCTGAGGATAATAGGGCTGAATCTGCGGTCCGCAATCGGTTAATTCTTCAGCCGACAGCGAGCTACTGTTCGCCAACAAACGTTTCACTGGTGCTGAATCTCGAAACCATTACACTCAAGGGAAACTGAGGACACTGTGTTCCTGTGTCACCCCTCCCTGTCCCGAACTAAAGTCACTCAATGAGCTGCAGTTTTTTCTGCTAAAGTGGCAACTCGATCTATAACCGAACATATCTTCCTTTAGTATCGTACCTATGAAGTCAGGTTTTTTCACTTGAAACAAACTCTCTATTTTGCCCACATTGACTAATCACAAAATTAAAACAAAACCAATAGTGACTGCAAAACAGGGAGTTCGTTTTAGGTCTTTTCCTGTCTTCCAGGTTTTGGAAGGCGCCCAAGAGGTGCTTTACCAATCAACCAAATTTTTAAAATTACCTATAAAGTGGTAATAAATCAATAAATATGATTGCCCCAACGACATGAAGCGTTTCGAACCCTCATACGCTCTCGTCAGCACTCCTCTCTACAAATGAATTAAGACGTTCACGTTCCAGATACTAGCCTGAAAAAGGAAGAAGGGTTGTCAAGCACCGAAATAATGTGTTTATTATCCTGAGTTTTCAGGTTCTTGCGGGAGTCCATCTTCAGAGATAAAAGCGTCCACGAAAAACAAGCAATAGCTACAGGGGGTAGTAACTAATCAACCTTTATACGGGGTAAGGAAAGGGGAATCATTAATCACGAATGTCGACCGTGCGAATATGCCTGCGGAGAGTGATGTATACCGGCGCCAGATCAATCGATCAATTGACTGAATTCTCATACGTGGCCCAGATTTCAATCAATTCTGGGCCTATCTTGCTGCCGGCGTGAGCGATTATCTTAGCGGCTGCGAAGTTAAACTAATGACCCGCATGATAGGTGTGGGTCGCCACTTGCAAAAATGCATCACCCCGTCAGACAGCCAGCTTATGTTCATGCATGGGCGAACCGAGCATGCGCTCAGTTTGCCCTGTATAGTTACAAGGACAGCTTAAGCATGGGATGCGATAAACTACCCGGGATTGTTCATTGGGGTAAAGCCGGCCTTTTAATTTCATTACGCGTTTG